CCATAATTTAAGGATTATTACAAAGTTGAACCTTTTTTTTTAAATCAATTTCATTTTCTTTCTGGTTCAACATCCTAAGCCCAACTCAGACTGGTCCGATCCAGTCCAAGCTCGTGCCCATAAACCTCAATGGGCTAATCGCGATAAATTAAATTATGTCAGTCTTATGTGATGGATTTAAATATTTGTTAATCTTTTACACTTTTTTAATGCACCAAAAAGTCATAAAATACTAATTTTGTCCCAACATTTTTTGAAAATACTAAAAGGTAAAAAAAGAAGCAGATTCCTGAATTAAGATAAAACGTGGGCTTCTTAAATTTTCTTTATTTTGTTTATTTTGCAGGACGGCCCAAACCAATAGTCTGTTAGAAGTGGCCTATGGGCCAGCTTGCTACCCATCCTGCGAGCCTCATAGAAAGTCGGACCAAACATCGATCTTTTGGGCTTACCGCTTGGCCCAACTTTGCTTACCCGTCTGGGTCAAGCCCAACAAGCCTTGGATTGACCTGTAAGAAAAAAAGCCTGCTGATAAATTAAAATAAAATGGAATTCAAAAAATTCAAAATACAAAAAATTGTAATTCAAGCCTTGTATGTTACATTTAAAATACAAAAAACTAAAATGAAATACTAAAAGTTTTAAGGCCAAAATTTTGGAGAAAATATTAATTCAACGTATGTTTAAAAAAACTCAGTGATAAATTTTATAAATATTAATAATTAAAATCTTAAACTTTTTTATGAATCTATAATTAGTTTATGAAATTCTAAAATTTTACCTTGTATTTTTTTAAACACTTTTCAAAATACTTGCTTAGCATTAGTAAAGAATAAATAGACAAAACTTAATAAAGAAATAAATAAGAAGTCAATAGATGTCTACATATTAATGGTTGGAAATGACCCTTCTTAGGGCACCTGACTATTGATGGAGAAACTGCATTAATAGGGACAGGTATCTAAATTTTAATTGGTCCAAAATAGTGATTTTTATATTAAAAATTATATTATTTTTCACTAATTATAAAACATATATCATTCACACCCTCTTTAAATATTGTGAACAAAATCCAAACAGTGTACATTTTCTTCATTTTGAACTTGTTTAATTTTGAAGGTAAAGCAACCCAACCCAACTAACAGTTCATTTAATAACGAAAGCTTACCTATAAGTGCTATTAAAGAAAACAAAAGAAACAAGTGTATGCGTAAATTTAAAGACAAAGTTCAAATAAACAAAAACCAGGTGGGTCACATTTGATTTCCATTTTATTTTTATTTTTATTTTGGGATAAAATTGGATGTGAATGAGATTATTATTGATAGAATTATAAGAATAAGTTATTCAACAGGATAGATGGTTGGATCTATGAAAGAATTATTGATGGTAATTATAAAAAATTTTACTGTAGAATAAAAAAGTGAATAAAAAAAGTAGGATTATTGTTTATGTTTTGTTGACAAGGGATAAAATGAAAGAGTGAAACAATTTGGAGAGGCATAATGTCTTAAAGCATCATTATCAAGTTCATTAGAGCTTTTTCTTATCTATTTTATAGTACAAAATTATAGAAACGCACTCTATCAAATTTAATTCTTAGTTGAACATCAAATCAGTAGCTACATGTAGTTAGAGAAAGATGAATCAACAAATGAAATAAAAAAATAGATAGTTTGTTGAAGAATGTATTTGAAAAGATGGTTGATTAAAATATATAAATAAACTTCTAGTTAAAATTTAACTAAAAATTTGACTATTTCGATGGAGATATTATTAGCATCACAATTCTTATAGTAATATTTAATTCTTCCTTTTTTCCTTTTCTGTTTTTTGGCCATTTAATCTCTTTACCAATATTAAAGTTGTTTGGACGAAATTTGTCCCTTATTCTATTCACCTCTATAATCTAACGTATCAAACATGGGATCATTTTTTAGGTAAAACCCAACTATCTTCTCTTCGCTTATTTCCCAATTAGTCATGTAACCGAACTTATATTTGGGCCTCTGCCAAATATTCAAGATTCTTTGCATATCTTTTCTAGTAATTAAGAGTTTTTTTTTTTTTTTTTAAAAGTTTACATTAAACCCATAGTGATATGCTGGGCTCCAACCTTTTGAGATGAACCAGAAGCTGTCCAATATTTTGGGGCTGAGGCGAAATTTCAAATGGAGCATTTTTATACTTAAATAATATATTAATTTATTACATTATTATAACTTTTTTAAATGTTAACACACTCATTTTTTTTATTTGTTTTATTTTGCATGTCTATGCTAATTATTAAAATAAAATTTACTATCATTGCTATTGGGGGACTTTTTGGATAAGGATTTTTTTTATTTTGTTGGGGATTTTTTTTTTTTTTCCTGGGACTTTGGGTAAATAGTATATTTATTTATTATTATTGTAAAGCCCTTAGACAATTTTTTGTTCAACAAAACTTTTTGTCAAGTATAAAGAGGATAAAAATTCGATCAATCGCGCTACGTAGCTTGAAATTGGAAGCCCTCAAATGGCCTGAAATCCCAAACTTGGGATTTTTTATTTTTTTTTATTTTTCTTTTTTTCTTCTCGTTTGTCTAAAGAAGAAAAAGAAGTAGAAGACGAAGAGGCAGAAGAAGAAGAAGAAGAAGGAGAGAAGAAGAAGAAGATTGCTGGTAATGAACATCATCATCATCAACAACATCTTCTTCATCACATCATCATCAGCCAACATTTTTTTCCCCCCCTTCAGATTTGGATCTAAAAAAATCAATAACAATCAACAACAACATCTTCATCAATATTAGCATCACCATCATCAACACATCATCTTCTTCTTCAGAGCCAAAAAGAGAGAGAGAGAGAGAGAGAGAGAGAAAACAGAAATCGCAAGGGTGCAAGATCACCGTCATGTCCACCGTCGCTCGCACCCTCCATCACCGTCGCCCTGCCCTGCCATCGCCGTCTCTCTCTCTATTTCCCTCTCTCCTCTCCTCCTCTCTCTTTCTCCATCTCTTCCCCTCTGTTCAAATATAAACAAGAAAATAAAATAAAATATTGCTAAAACAACGTCGTTTTGGCATTCGGGGGATTCGAGCAGTGCAATTTCGAGCTCTCACGCATTTTCCAAATTCGATTCTAAATTTGTTCACAAGCAACTAACAAGATGTAAACAAAAATTGTAATTAACTTCAAATAGGACACACTTATAAACTGTGTAAATAAAATAAAATATTTAAAATTTTTAGACTTTCCACAAATTGATTTGGAACCTTATGTATATATTTAATTGGCGTAAGAGATGAGTTGGTTCTGATACAAATTAAATGAAAACAGTCTAATTTTGTTCACATAGGCTCCAGCTCCACTTAAAAGGGATGGGATTTAGAGACAGTGTCTACGCTGGACTCATTACAAGTTTTATTTTGATGATCTAAATTATTTATTTATTAAATTTTTGTGGTATATTATTTATATATATATAAAAAAATATGATGTATCCATATAATTTTTTTTCTCCACAATGCCCTCAATGACGTGACAAACAAAATTTTAGAAGTTGACCCACATTCAAATATTCCCTCAAAACTCTCTTCACATGTATTTTGTCTTGCTTACCTCATTAGGGAAATGTGTGGAAAAAAATTGTGTGAATGTAACATTGTTGTTAAAAAAATGAAGCTGACTCGATAATTGTAAAATAATTTTTTTGTCATATTTGTTTTAAAAAAAATTAAGAATAAATTATCAATTGGTCATATTTTTTAGACTTATTACCCATTAATGGTCTATTTTAAAAAACAAAGTTTCCGTTCAATTTTTTAAAAAACAAATACGATGAAAAGAAGATGCTACATTATCACATCGACCTAATTTTTTCTATAAATAATATACACGAAAAGTCCTAAAAGTCCTAAAAAGTGAACAGCGAATAATCAAAATAGGACTAATGATGACCCCCACAAACTCGGACAACGTCTTTTCAATCCAAATTTAGACTAGAGAGAATCCCAGCTCCATTCAAAATTTTAGGGTCCACTATTTTGTATTAATAAAGTTTTGTATTTTATTCACAGACTTTCAAAGTATATAAACAAAATCAGACAAGCAATGTTAGTGACCCATCAAAAATTCTACACAATATTCACATTTTTCCATTTGAATATTGTATAAAAATTTTAAAAATACTAGAAACCACAAATGAATTACTAAATATTTTACACAATAATTATACCAAATATCTACACAACACTCTCATGAATATATGACCCACATAAATTACACATTTATGTGGGTATTGTGTAGAATATTTAGACCCAGTTTGAAAAGTTAAGCTTATACTCAAAAAATCATTATAAATTGTCACATTATTTTTTTTTACTTTTATACATATTTTTATAATAAAAAAAAATCAAAAAACTCAATTATTGCTAATTCCAAAACAGACGTCCTAACTCATTTGGAGTCGTTACATATTTTCATAAGGGCTGTGATTGAGGCCTCGAAAAAAAGGGGTGAGAGGGGAGACATCTTTCTCCTACTATCAATAGAGAGAGAGAGAGAGAGAGAGAGAGAGAGAGAGAGAGAGAGAGAGAGAGAGAAAAGAGAGAGATGGAGAAAAGCAAAGTGTTGATAGTAGGGGGAACAGGGTAGTTGGGAAGGAGGTTGGTGAAGGCAAGTTTAGAAGAGGGACACAAAACATATGTCCTCCATCGACCTGAGATTGGCTTGGACATTGACAAAGCTCAATTGTTGTTGTCTTTTAAGGATCAAGGTGCTAACCTCGTACATGGTTCATTCAATGATCATCACAGCCTCCTCAATGCTGTCAAAATGGTGGATGTTGTCATTTGTGCCATTTCTGATGTCCACATTCGCAGCCACCAGATACTGCTTCAAATCATTACATGTATCTATCTATCTAATCGACCTGAGATTGGCGTGGACATTGACAAAGCTCAATTGTTGTTGTCTTTTAAGGATCAAGGTGCTAACCTCGTACATGGTTCATTCAATGATCATCACAGCCTCCTCAATGCTGTCAAAATGGTGGATGTTGTCATTTGTGCCATTTCTGGTGTCCACATTCGCAGCCACCAGATACTGCTTCAACTCAAGCTTGTGGATGCAATCAAGGAGGCTGGAAATGTTAAGGTAATTATTGTACGAAATCGATCACAAGATAAAATTAAGGTTAACTATTGACCGTAGTGAATATTTTAACAAAATAAAATTATATTTAATATGTCAGTTATGGAGTTTTATTTCAAAATCAATACCAATCTTAATTTATCACATAACAATTCTGTTCAACTTTGATATACTAATTCTATACAAATCAAATTTATTACATAATAATTCTATTCATTACATGTATCTATACTATATATATAAGCAAATGTAGTTATTATGTCAAAAGTCTTCAAATGTTTATTATTAAATTCTCATAATTTTGGAATAAATAAATAAATACTTGGTACCTCCTTTCACCCGTCTTCTCGCTATTCAGATATTCTCACCCTCTTCCCCAATTGTTATATAAAAGATAATGATAAAAAAAATCAAATAATATATTACCAATCTTAATTTATCACATAACAATTCTGTTCAACTTTGATATACTAATTCTATACAAATCAAATTTATTACATAATAATTCTATTCATTACATGTATCTATACTATATATATAAGCAAATGTAGTTATTATGTCAAAAGTCTTCAAATGTTTATTATTAAATTCTCATAATTTTGGAATAAATAAATAAATACGTGGTACCTCCTTTCACCCGTCTTCTCGCTATTCAGATATTCTCACCCTCTTCCCAAATTGTTATATAAAAGATAATAATAAAAAAAAATCAAATAATATATTTTCTTAGAGTTTTAGGTATAGATATGTATATAGATTCTCACATGTCTATCACTATATCAGGTAAATTTAAATTAAAAAAACAAAGAACCCACAAATCCCACAACTCTTATTCCTAACTGTTATATATATAAAAAAATAAAAAAATCAGATAATATCTTTGTGGGTGTCTATCTAAAATCTCAATCCAAAATTTTTGAATTTTTAATTTAAAAAAAAAATTACAAAATGCCATACTCAATTTCTATGAGATCATACTTCATTTTACCCACACACACACACAGAAGAAGAAGAAGAAGAAGAAGAAGAAGAAGAAGAAGAAGAAGAAGAAGGAGGAGGTCAAAAATAATAAATAAACAACCAAATAAGTGTAAGCAAGCATTTATTTATTAGATAAATGTTTGCTTTTAAAAAAAAATAATAATAATTGATTTGTATTTTAAATTTAAATTTTCTATGATATCTTTAGCTCCTTATCTGTCACGACCCCAAACCGCCCCTAGTAGTTTAGTGCTGTGATGGCCAGTAACCCGAGATTACCGAAGGCCAACTTTCAAAATTCACACACCAACAGAGTATAAATGTATATGGGGCTCACAAATACGGAAGCAATAATTTTAAAGTACAAGTGGTCCATAGGAGCAGTGCGTAAGTTACATGGAACGGCATACAACTTTACATATCATTACAACTTGGATACAAATATAATAAGGTACAAAATACATTTACATCTTGATCAAAAGGCTTCTCTAGCCAACATGTGTAAATTACAAGTATTATAAGCCGAGAAGCATAATTTTCAAGACTGCCGACGTGTATGCAAGTTAAGCCAACATAACAAAACCCAAAAGAGCTTGCGAGTCACACTTAGGCGTCACCGCCTTCCTGCTCATCACCTACATATATATATATAGAGGGTGAGTTTGGATACTCAGTGAATGGTATAAGAAATAAAGGGGTTTGCATGACTGGTATTCAAGATCTTTATCAAACAATACATAACATAGTTGGTACAAGTCAAGGGATGAACCAAGTCCATCTTCCAAATCTGTCAAGTTTTCAAAGGATGCTTACTAACATCATTATAATACAAGTGATGACATCTCGGCAAAACAAACCCACGCGGAAAACCGTCA